TATCATACATTGTATTGGTACGACATGGATGAAATGTAAGCTTGTATTTGGAATCCTATGTGATAAAATGTACAACTGAAACTTAAATGTAAGTTTTATAGAGTGGTGGTTATAGGCCGACTTGGTTGTATGAGGCAGAATGTTGGCCAGTCAAGAACTCCCATATTTAGAAGATGCATGTTGCAAAAATTAGGATGTTGAGGTGGATATGTGGGCATACAATAAGCAATAAGATTATGAATGAGGACATTTGGGATAAGGCATGGGAATGATCTCCGTTGTGGACAAGATGAGGAAAGTGGGATTGAGATGAATTTGGATATGTGAAAAGAAGATAGGCAGCCGCGAGAGGTTGGTTATAGTAGGTGCGAGAAGATGTAGAGGTAGGCCGAAGAAGTATTGGAAAAAAAGCGATTAGACAGGACATGACACAAATTCAGGTTACCGAGAATATGACCTTAAATATGAGAGTGTGGAGGACGTGTACCAGGATAGAAGGTTAGTAGGCAGTTGAGTGTTGTCTTGTTTTCCAAGTTGAGGCTTGTTGGTGTTTTTTCACTAGTTGTATTATTGTAGTTTTTACTTTTAATATCTATCATAGTCTGTTATTTATTGTGTTTCAATTATCGTACTATTTTATTGTTCCGACTCTTTTTTCGTAGGATTATTGTTTTTGTTGCACTCTAATATTTTGTTTGGCTAAGTTTTGAAAAATATAAAAATATTCATTTTTTAAAAAAGAATTCAGTTGTCTCAAAACAAAATTGAATCAAATTTCTTTTCTAAAAATATTTTTTAATAGAGCATAAGTTGAAAGAGCAGTTTTTTTTTTTTCGTTAACACTTTTTTTTAAAAAAATGGTTAAACTTACCATTTTAAATTTCACATCATATATTATTTATTTAGATTATACACAAATATTTTTAATATACAAAATTCACTTATTTTCTTGGAAAATATTTTATATGGAACACATGTTCCTTCTTACCGAATTAATAAACCCTGATATTTGTCTTCTTTATTATTTTTCGTTTGTCAAAATATAATAGTAACCACCAGTTTCTCACATTTTAAATAATTCGTATTTGTTGTCAACAATTATATATAAAACTTAATCTATACTTAAGTCTGCATTGTTTCTTAAGCTGATATCCCACGTTTAATTTTAAATTATACACCAAGGAAAAGAATAGTATTATTTCCTCCTATTTTTTTCTCTTTTTTTTTTTCAGATTAAAAATTAATATGAGTAACTTATATCATCAAATATGTGGTGCACTAGATGGGGCTACTCTTCTCGATCTTAAGCAGAGATTTTGAAATTGAGCTTTGTGTATGAAAAAATTCTTAATAGGAATGGAGCCCTATGCAACACGATTCTAAAATAGTCTAACTCTATACAAGTATCGAACACCAAGTGATAAAAAAAAAGTAAGATATACTAAAAATGAAAAAGCAAATATATAAATAATTGGGCCATGCAGAGGAGTATATATATTAAAAAATATAGAAGTGTCCTGATAGACGTGTTAATAGTTTATGTAAATAAGATCCCCACGTGGCGGAGGGAATTTTTTTTATTAAGGGAGTTCAAAAAATAAAATACTATAGTATTAAAATACTATAATATTTGAGATTTATACTTGAAAAACAGTAAAGTAAATTCTAAACTCGTAAATCATCACTAAGTCAACCCTTACTCTTGTGTTAAGGGGATTTATGTATACATAATAATTTTTTTGTTGAAGAGGATCCAGTGAACACCCTCAGCTCCCTCTAGATCCTCCCCTAACCCCACAAGAGAAAAATTGATAGGAATGTATTTTTGTACACAAACAATTTCTTTTTTAACAAATATAATTAAGACATATATGTTATTTTTAATGCAACAAATTAAATTAAACAATTAATAAGAAGTAATACCAAGATAACTACTCTCAACATAATTAATGTTTGTATAACTAATTCAAACATAACTATCTTCAAACGAAACGCTCCTTAAATGTTCTTTTTCAAAAGGCATAATACATGAACATGACTCTTAACTTGACTTTAACTGACAACTATGACCTTTAATTTTGGGTGTGCACAAGTAGACACTTAAACTTGTATAAAATAGAACAAATAGACACATTCGTCCTACATGACGTCCTACTTGTATTGTGTCATGTACGATACACATGTCTATTTGTTCAATTTTATACAAGTTTAAGTGTCTACTTGTACACAGGGGCGGAGCTACCCTTGCCCGAGGGGTGTCAAGCGACACCCCTTTATCGGAAAATTATGTTGTATAGGTAAGTCAAATTCTGATTTTATACCTATATATATATTAGAATTGACACTCCTGAACCAAGTTGAAGTGTTGGTTCAGCGGTTCAAGGGCTACAAAGTTCCGCCTTGTCATTGACCTAGGCGTTGGGAGTTCGAACCTTGCTGAAGCCTATTTTTTTTTAAAGGCTTTCAGCGTTTTTTTTTTAACTTTTTAGACAACTTGTGTGCATACTACTTTATATTTTGACACCCCTCAATCTAAATCCTGTCTCCGCCACTGCTTGTACACACCCGAAATTGGAGGGCGTAGATGTCAACTAAAACCAAGTGAAAAAACATATTTATATATTATGCATTTTCAAAATAAATAAACAAATATTGAGATATCACTACAACAAAAAGGCTTATTAAAGACCAAAATATACTAACAAGTTATAAATATGGTCCCTAAAATATACTTATAAGGATGATATTATTTACTGGTCTCTATTTGACTATATTATTTTCTAATAACAAATAAACTCGTCCCTAAATGAAATTTTCAGCGGGAACTAAAAGGCACTAAAAAATTTTCTCTCTCTATAGTTATAACCTAAAACCCCCAAATCCATTGATAAAGCTATTAGATTTTTCTTTCTCTCTCTAGCAATATGCCAAAATTGTTGTGCATAGCTCTGAAGTCTCCTTACTCTTGAATCTTGAAGGCATTATTGGCAGAAAAATCTCCTAAATCTTGAAGCTTGAAGGCATTATTGGAAGAGAAACGTTTCACCTACAACTTGCATCTACATCTAAAGTAAGTTTATTCCTCCTGATTCATCTCCCCCTTCTTCTTTTTCTGTAAATCTGCCATTTTTCTTTCTGCTGGTCGAATTTTATGTGATTGGGCTCTTATAGATACTCATTGTTATTGTGTAAGGACTGAAAATGATAGTTTTATAGGTAAGGCTTGGGGTTGAGGTTCAAAGAGGAGATATTTGAGAGTTTATTTAAGATTTTCTCTGTTAATAGTGTTGAATAATTGCTAGGGCTGCCAAGAAATTTTGGTAAGGCTGGCATTGCAAAAAAAAATTCCATCAGGTGATGAATATGTAGAATATTTTTACCATTAGTGTCTTTAATTCAGTTCCCAATTTATGTGCTTTGAATTTGAATGGGTTTTTTTTATTGTATAACTATTGTATTCAATTTTTAAGTATAATGTGACACTAAAAAGATTAAACGAGAAAGAAACGAAATTGTGAATGAGCATTGACAAAGCATTTGATTGTAGTTTCCTTTTTTTGGTGTTTCAAATGTTGTTTTAATTGTTATTTTCTACTACAACTAGTGCTGCATATTGGTTTCTAAAGTTACTACTTGTGGCACATTTTTGAAATCTTAAGCTACATGGAAATTTGTGGTTGTTTGTCATTGTTGTTTTGGTGGTTGTTGTTTTCAATTAGATGCTATATGTTTTATTGAAATTGTTTGGATCCTCGTGTAGTTTGATAAAAAAAATTGTTGGAGAAGTTGTTGATAAGTTTAGATTTGTGAAACATGAAAAATGTCATTAGTTCACGTGGATGTCACATAATATAGTTTAACTCGCAGTGTGTAGTGTTCTGAACTATATTATGCGACATCCACGTGGATGTCTACGAGTTAAACTTGTCGTCTTTATTTGAAGTTCACTAGTAGGTTTAGGATGTCGCATCTGTTAAGACCTTTTAGTTTTATTATATATAGCAACACGTATTCAATTAAAAGAAAATATGTTATTAGTCCATTTTAGAATGATAAATAGTCTATAAATTTGGATCACTATTGAATAGTACCAACCTCATTCTAATGGAGAAAATATTGTGAAGAGCTCTGTCAATATCAGATTCTTCTAATTTCTGCTTCTTCAAAGCTAACTCATGATAAAATTTTACAGAGAAAATTGACTTTTGGCTATTTAAGGATTTTCAAGTGATGATAACAAACTCATTTAGAACATGTAAGCTCTTCTTCCGCTCTTAACTTTAACTTTTTGACTAAGTTTTGTTCCTTGTAAATTTTCGTTTGCGATTACAGTTTACTCGTCACAATATAAGTAATTCTTGATGTTTTACTATACAATCGTCATAGCAACATTAAGCTGACTGGAAACTCATACTATTTTATGACAATATGTTTCTAACTTGTGTAGTCATCGAGTACACGAGTACATTTGCCATTGAACAGGCTGTTTGATTCCTCCAAAATACACACTGCTTTTATCTACATTTGCCACCAATTCTGAAGCCTCTGAAAATTGCATAAAACATTTATGTAGATAGCTCACAGACTTTATATCTCCCCTGCAGAACATCAACAAGTCATCAGCAAAGCTAAGTTAGATGATTTTTTGTCTCTTACACCTAGGATGGTAATGGAACTCATGGTTAGTATGAAGGCTTTTTAAGACCCTTGTGAGATAATCCATGGCTAATACAAAGAGAAAAGGCGACATGGGATCCCTACCGAGTTAATGAATCACAATGAACTATGATGAAGGCACCTAGCAGGTGCTGGGGAAAAACAACTAAATAGAAAGCTTTGTAACTTGTAAGCTTACACCCTTCAAAAGTGTTTTAACTGATATTTTGTTCCGTCATAGTGATTTTCTTGTTGATGGTCTCAAATCCTATTCATGTATAAAGCTTCCTAAGATTGTGGATGCAAATTTTTGCAGTGATGGCTTTGGTCCCCTATTAGAACAGATGGTGCAAGCACTTTGTCGGCATGTATCGGATGATTCTCCTACTGTTAGGCGCCTCTGTCTAAGAGGGTTTGTCCAGGTATTCTTGGTCATAGAGTATTCTTTTTTCTTTTTCTTTTCTTCTAAGGAGGAGGAATGTTTACGCGAGGAATTTTCTAGTTTTTTTTTCCTGATTTCATCATTAGGAGTCCCTCTGGTTCAGTTTGATTTCCTCGGTCAAATAGTATCATGGCTTCATTTCGTAATTACTGCTTTAGTTATAAAAAAATTCCTTCCTTTGTGGCTAGGTGCATATAATTTCTACTCTGAAAGAATGAGAAATTAGTAAAGTTTTGAACGCCGCCATAGTCATTGCTCAAGTACCGTATATTTTCACTTCTCTTGGGCTGAGGTTCATTCTGCCTGCTGGTCTTGCAGATGCCATCTATCCATGTTCTCCAGTATACTACTAAATCCTAGGGGTGATATTAGCTTTGATCGATGACTCAGATGAGTCGGTCAGTTAACTGCAGTATCATGGTTGCTGATGGTAAAGCTTGCTCGGTCTTTGTTAGTATCTTATATTCTACCTTCACGTGAATGTTTTCTGCTGACATCCTACTATGTAGGTTCTCGAGTCCTCATCCAGGGAAGCGGTTGAACCTGTTCTCCTGAACCTTCCTATACGGCTTCAGAATCTCCAAGTAAGTTGATTCACTATCCAAACGTAAATTTCTTCAACTTTAGATTTTCTGGTAATAGCCTCAAATTGGTTGAATTACTGTACTAGTCCGATTGTATCACATTCTAAATTATTTATTTAGAGCTGATAACAGGGTGGCATTGTGTTAAAAAGACTTTTGTATCAGGACAGTAACACAACTCTGTTTGGACATCCTAGGGTGATGTCTTTTGCCTTGACATAATATTTTGCATTATTTGTCAACCTTCAAGACATGTCTCTTGATACAAGTTCTTCTTTAATTTGATATTATACCCCTTAAGTGTATGTGCTAGTTAAATAGATGAGTGACACCCATATATTGTACTGTGCTAGTGTTGCCACTTATGTTGCTCTGGCTCTTCAAAAATGCCGACGAGTGTATGTCGGATCCTCCAAAAGTAGTACATTTGGAGGATACGACACAGGGTGCATCAACATTTTTGGAGCATTCAAACAACATAGGTTGCCACAATTGGAGTCTGAGTTCTAAAAGAGCTGAAGTAATTTAATGGTAGGTTTTACATTTTGTCTCTGAAAATTAGTTCATATCGATGTGCGATTTATCTCTTGGGAAAGAAACACATGTTACATCATTATCTTCTAATCTGTGGATTATAGAAATATTAGCAAGTGCATGTTGAGATGGCCATAGCGTATAACATTATTTTCTTGCCTCATAAAAGGAGTGCATGAATAGGAGTGCATGAATGAGAAGATACGAGCCAATGCTTATGCTGCATTTGGAGCACTGAGCACTTATGGAACTGGGCCTCAACGAGACTCTTTTCTTGAGCAGGTATCTTATCTCTCATTAAACCATTTGTCACCACCTAAATTTGATTTGGTATCTTTTTCTCATTAGCACATAGTTTTAGATGTTCTTTTAAATTTTATCAATTTTAATTGCATCATAAGGTGTCATATCCAACATCACAAGTCAAGACTGGTCTCAAACGAGGATGTTTTGGTTGTGTTGGCTTTATCATTTCAACTGAGCATGTGTAAAGGACGTTTCATATTCAACTGTTTCTTCTTCATTGAAGGATCAACATTTTTTTGATTGACAATATAGGTCACTTTTCACTAATAGCTGCCCCTCATGTATATTTACTGAATCATGAAATTCCAAGATGTGTTTGTTTATATTTTATAGTGCATCTTTTTAATTTTAAAACCTTTAATTTAATGCCTTAGGTTGGGATCTCTAAAATAAGAGCATAATCTAGACTAAACTTTGTTGTTAATAGGTCTGTTAATTACTTAATTTCCCGTGAGGCCTCTGTTGGCAGTGAATATTTTGTTTTACGGTCCCCATTTCTTGATCTGCTCTTTGTATATTTGAAGGAGCTCATACTTTTCTTCTACTTATCATCTTAGTTGCGCGGACTCTTCACTTTTGATGCCGCACCCGTGTCGGACTCTCCAAAAATGCACTACTTTTGGCGAATCCGACACGCACCCGTTGAAATTTTTGAAGAGTCCGAGCAACATAGCTTATCATCAAACTTTACTTTCTTGGGTAAAACAGAGTAGTAGATATACCCTTTCTATCCCACATCTTCATGGTCAGCTATGAATTTTGAATGAGATATGATTTATTTTAGTCTCCATTTCTGTTGTACGCAAAGCAAAGTTCTTTAATTCTCGCTTTTTGATTTGGTTAATCAATATCTAATCTGTTTCTGTCTTGTATTGAACTTTATCAAGAAATGATCTTCACTTTTTCTACTCGTCAGGCTCATGCTGCTTTCCCACGGATTGTTTTACATCTTCATGAGGATGATCTTAGTGTGAGACAAGCTTGCCGAGTAAGTTTAATCTGCCAAATTTTATTCCTTATGTTGTTCAGGATGCATAATGAGTTAACCTTTCAACATGCCAGAACACTTTGAAACCCATTGCTCCCTTGATGGAAATTGATGGAATAACTGTTGTTTTCAACACTCATTGGTTTAGTTCGGACCATCGGTATGCACCCATTGATTTGAATAGTCCTTAATGGTTATTTATGAGAAATGATATTAAGTTGCCTTCAATTTTTAGAGGCGACTATGAAGACTTTCTTCGAGAACTTGCAAGGCAATTAACTCAAAATCTTAATGCCCGAGTAGATAGGTACATGGCATCAATAATACAGATTTTGGATGCTGAAATTTGCAAAAAGCCGATGTTAAACATGTAGATTGACCATTTCTTGCTGGAAAGGTGAAGGCAACTTTGGATTATAGTTTAAGGCTAGTATATGATTTTTTTGCTAAGCGTTCATGATCGCAATATTGTTACTAGCTTACCACATTGTTGTATATAGTCAGATGCCTTATACTCACCTTATTTTGTAATTACATTATATATTATATATGAAAGCAACAAGTTTATATTAATTATCGTATTTTCTAGGTGCAAATGCAATGTGATTTAAGGACTAGATTGTAAATCCTTAAAATCCTTTTGAGTAGGAAATCTGTAATGGTTGCGAAATGATTTATGGATCACCTTCAAAATGGTCCCGAAATGATTTAGGGACCAGCTTAAAAGTTTTCGTAAATTGATTTATAGACGAGTTAAAAACTGGTCGCAAACTGATTTACAGACCAACTTCAAACTGGTAGCAAAATGATTATGGACCAGCATAGAAGTCGTCCCAAAATGATATATGGACCAGTTAAAATCTAGTCGCAAAATGATTTAACGACCATAATTTTGATTTCAATATGTGCGAATAGGTACCAGATATATGGTCCCTAAATGTATTTTAGGGACCAGTATTAACCTAGTCCCGAAAAAGAATCAGCGACCGACCCGATAATCTTGTCCCTAAAGGTCCTTAGCGACTATTAAGGCTATAAGGACAAGCGCAACTGGTCGCTATTGTCCTTTTTGGGACCAGATTCTTACTTATAGCGACCAGTTTTCCTTTCGCTATTGGGCAGTTTTCTTGTAGTGTATGGAATGACAACATGAGAAATCGAACTTCCACCAACAAAATGCAAATTTAAATAATCAAATCAACTGAGGTACTAAAATATTGTTTAATGGACCCATGCAACAACCTTTCGTCCTCATCAATCTAACTACTATTATTAGTACTAGTTTACAAGCATATTTATGGTCTACAACATTTGGGGACCTAACTAAATATGGTAGGAGAAGAAAAAATGAAACCAATTATTAGATCTTTGTCTTGCTGGAATTAGATGGTTCAGCAGTCACTTTTCCAACTTAAATCTCATTAAATCAAACCTTGAATTCAATGATCTCATTATCTCAACTGTTTCTTTTAAGTTTTCTTCGAGAAAAAAATATGTCGATTTGAAGTTTATAAATTCAAAATTTTAATTTATTGAAGTTGTATGTTGTTAATTTAAATATATTTAATATTTTTTAAAAATAAATACAATAGTTAGACCAAAATTATTAGATTCAGCTAAATCCATAACGTGTACTATTCAGTATTGAGTTTCCCACATCGGTGGGTGGGAAGCATATTTATCTTCTTATCTGATACTCGTGAAGAGTTAACTTTTGAATTGAGTTACTATACCTAAGAGCGATAATCTAGTTCTTTTTTAAATCATGGTATCAAGCTTTCACATCAAAATGGAACGAAAACTTATCTTTTTATATGATCTTAAATAATTTTTATTTCTTTAATTAATTTTTGCGTCTGACAATAACTACGTTAAAATTATTGTGAAAGAGTGTAGTGATATTAATAAGATCCCTTCATATCTAACTAGAAATTAAAATCGAATCACAAATGAATTTTTTTTGTGGAAAAAGCTTCGATTTTTAATAGTTGTTACGCAATGCAAATATAAATTAATCATTATATCAATATATTTAGTATTTCTATTGTTGAAAATAAAATATTAGCCCACCAACACTGCGTGGAGTTGACTAAATATTATTTCCCCAAAATGGTATGACAGCACTGACGGGTGGCCAGACCATCAAGATAACATATGTATGGTTTGATCGGGAATATAAGAATAGTGTTGAATAATATATATCAATAATATTGATAATAATAATATTAGTATTATAATGCTTACATTTGTTATTAGTGACGAAATCAAATATTTGTTAAGAATGTTTAAAATTTAATATATATGTATGAAAAATATTTTTTGTATAATTTTTTATATACATAGTATGATTTTTTGACAGAGTGTTCGAGTGACCTCTATTTGTTACATGTGGCTATGCATTATTAGTAATTTATATTAAAATTATTTCACCATTTGGTATATTAAAAGTAACATGACATATTTCCAAAAAAAGTTACTCCTTATTTATAAAAAGGAAAATTACGCGGTTAAACAAACTTATACTACTTAATTACTCATCATAGCTATAGTTTGCTATAATTATCACTCGCGGCTAACATTATACATTAATTACGTGGGCTGACTTCGAGTTTGTATAATTAGTCACGTTTGTATATTTATAATTCGCCAGAATATACAAATACATATGTATAATATACAATTATCTAACCAATATACATATACAATTCACCTCTCTCCTCCCTCTCCCAATTTCACTCACCTCTCTCCTCCCTCTCCCAATCTCGCTCGCCTCTCTCCTCCCTCTCCCAATCTCGTTTGCCATATATACAAATGCATATGTATAATATACAATTATCTAATCGATAAACATAAACAATTCACCTCTCTCCCACTTTCTTCCCTCTATCGCCCGCCTCTCTCCTCCCTCTCCCAATCTCGCTAGCCTCTCTCCTCCCTCTCCCAATCTCGCTTGCCATATATACAAATACATATGTATAATATACAATTATCTAACCGATATACTTATACAATTCACCTCTCTTCCACTCTTTGCCCTCTCTCGCTCACCTCTCTTCTCTCTCTCCCAGTCTTGCTCACCTCTCTCCTCCCTATAACATGTAGCTACGAATTGTAATTATCAAACTATAGCTATGGAGAGTAATTAAGTTATTTTGAGTGACTATATGTGAAAGTTTCTCTTTATAAAATGTAGCAGACCCTCCATAAATATAGGGAAAATGATGAACACCCCATTCATATATTAGTTATACATAACATAATATCAAATAAAATATAGGATATACCTAATACTATTATACATAAATTTGAAAAGTATGTCAAATAACGTCCCAAGTATCACCTTATTTCTAATTATAAGACTGTTAGAAACAATTTAATTATAAAAATTCACTTTTATCCTTTATGAAATTTTAGCACACAAGTTTGAATACTTTTTTTTTTATAAAAAAATTATAGTATCAAATCAAATGGCGTCACGTTAAATGAAATGAAAGGTAGGGAGTAATAATACACCACACTGACAGTTCGCATTATTTTATTTTTTTTCTAAATTATGGTGCCAAACAAGCCCGTATATAACCACGTAGAGTTTATGCATTAATGGAATACTGAATGAAGTTCTAACAATTCCACTCTCCCAACTCCGAAAACACACACTCTTCGTATAGGAACTTATCTTATTTTACTAAACTTTGTTCCCAAATTCCGTCTCTGTTATTGTTTAATGGAAGTGAATTCTTTGTCTACTTTTGATTTCAGCTCTCATGATGAGCATCATCAATTTTCTTTTTCCGATCGCCGTAGGCCGGAATTCGAAAGCTCTGTTTCAAATGCCGCCATGAAAGTTCAGAAGGTTTATAGGAGTTATCGTACACGGCGCATGTTAGCTGACTCTGCCGTGGTTGCTGAAGTGCTCTGGTATTGCTTAAAATATAACCACTTAACCTGTACATCAACATTTTTATTTAAAAATCCTCTATTATTTTTAATTTATGTATATAATAATAGAATAATCATGTATATTTATGTGTTCTTTATTGTGTGATGAATTTGAAGGTGGCAAGCTATAGATTATGCTAGATTGAATCACAGTACAGTTTCTTTCTTCAACTTCTTAAAACCAGAAACAGCGTCTTCCCGGTGGAATCGCATAAGCTTAAATGCTTCCAAGGTATTCTTACACTTTTATTTGAGAGATCAAAAAAAAAAATTGAACTATCAATTTTTTCCTTTTCTAGACTATCAGAAGTTGTTCCATTTTTCTACACTATCATCATCTATGTATATTAGAACACGCCTAGTTGAGTAGATTTTGATAGTACAAGTAAGAAAAAGAAACAATTGATAGTTGGTCGAGATGTGTTTTTACATAGACAGTGACAAATGATAGTTGGGGTGTGAAACTCGTGAATAAGATATGTTTTTGATCATTAAGTCTTTGTATTTCCAGTCATAATAAAACAACTTTCAGGCAGATTCTATAGAAATAAAAGAGGAAATTTCAAATATAATTCCGTATTGCTCAGGTTGGTAAAGGTTTGTCCAAAGACGCCAAAGCTCAGAAATTGGCTTTTCAACACTGGATTGAGGCGGTGAGTGTAGTACCTTTCGCCTCTGGCTTTTCACTTTGCTGCTCTTTTTGAAAATTTCCCAGTTAATTTGTTGATTTTTGTAATTTTTGTTTTTTTAACCTTGGTATTGTTCCACTATAGATTGACCCACGCCATCGTTATGGGCATAACTTGCATATTTATTATCAAGAATGGTGTAAAACTGAATCTGGTCAGCCCTTCTTCTTTTGGTAAGATTTTTGACATTGTTTGTTCAGAAATTATTTTTAAAAAATTCATTGTTTAAGATTTTTCCAACTTTTTTGTAGAAAGTGAAATGACTTCTCTCAAGTTGTGTTTGGTCTGAAATTCCTTTTCCAAAAATTTAAGAAAATGCACCATGGGCCTAGTTTAACCCCAAAAATTAGCTCAAGGAATGAGAATTACCCAAGACCATGATCAAGATGTGTATGAACCTAGATGCATATCTAACTTGAAACGTTTTGCATTCGAAACAAACGCTACAACCAGAGCTGTAATTTTGATTTCTATTCATAGTGATAGGATAATATCCAAATAAGTGAAAGACTATTTCAAGATTGTATAATGTTTCTTACCCAAAAGGAAATGCATGTGTTTCTCATAAAGTTTTAAAGTCTAGATGAATTATTTTACTATATCTTGGTTGAATATTCTTATTTTACTTTGTTATGGAGTCCAAGAACATTCTGCACTATTGACTTCTCTTTTCTCTGGTGCAACTTTGCCACAAGGATAAGACGGCATGTATTTTTCTGTGAATCTATTTATAAGATGTAAGAATCCTGACGGATGGTCTGTAAGTTTACTTAGAAGTTTCTTAAAATCTGCAGGTTGGATCTTGGAGATGGCAAAAAGGTTGATCTCGAAGAATGTCCAAGATCTAAGCTTCAGAAGCAAAGTATCAAGTACCTTGGACCTGTATGTGTTGAATCTTTTGTTACTTATCCACTGCATATCATGAGTCTTAACATCAATCATTAATTATAAACTGACAACCGGTTAAGTACTTGTGTTGACGCTGTTACTCTTTAGTCTTCAAATCTGATTTGCACCATTTTACACTATCTGGTGTATATGTAGTTCTTTTCCTTGTTCAAGTTGCCTATTTTGTCGCTTAAGTGAAGCTGTTAACTTCTGCATTATCCTTAAGTCACGTTGCTTGATATTAGCATGCGGTTCCTGATTTCTTCCTCCTAATCTTTCTTTAATCAGCAAGAGAGAGAACATTATGAATATATTGTTGCTAAAGGAAAAATTGTGAATGAGAAAACTGGAGATGTTCTTGATACAACTAAAGGGTTGCCAGGGGCAAAGTGGATTTTTGTGATGAGCACGTCAAGAAGACTCTATGCTGGTGAGGTGAGTGGTAAAATAGTTACTCTGTAAATGCATTTTGATGATTATCCTTGATTCCTTGTTGTTCATGATAAGGTTTGTTTTTATAATGTTTCTCAGAAAAAGAAAGGGATGTTTCATCATTCCAGCTTTCTTGCTGGTGGAGCTACTTCGGCTGCTGGAAGACTAGTGGTAAAGGATGGAAGAGTTATGGTAAATAAGTTTCTGTTATCTCAATTATTTCAATTGCTTCTGTCATCTAAGTTGTACTCTCGTAGCGGTTTGTGGTAGTAGTTAAGAGTGTATATTTCCAACCATACTGATTAGGTAGTTTTCGTCCCTTTTACTCACACTTGATGTCTTCCGACTTTAAACCAATATCAGCTGGCTTCTGCATGGCTAATGCTGAACTCATACTTACTCAAATTAGAAAATACTTGTGTATGACAGTGACAATATCCAGTTAAAGTCTAATGTTCATAAAGTACTCTTCCTTACTGAACGATTCTTTTCATCACTCATAAAACTACACAATCCAAGTTGATATACCACCTTCTATGTTTCTTCTCGTCATTCACCCTGACTCTTATAGATGAAACTCTAGAAGAAGAAAGCTGTTCTTTACATAAATGTATTCAGCTGCTTTATTTGCAACTGAAAGGTGTTAAAGAAGGACGGTATGCTTCCTGAATTCTTTGCATGCAACTCGAAAGCTTGAGTCTAAGTTTCTGTTTACAATCATCTGCTTGGAACTTAGCTGTTTTCTTGACATGTTATTCCTTTCAGTCTATTTCAGCATATAGTGGACATTATCGCCCAACAGAAGATAGGCTTGACAGCTTTTTATCATTTCTTAATGAAAATGGGGTCAACCTGGATGAAGTTGAGGTTGGTCTTTTCTTTTTCTTGTTCTTTTTTGTGCTCAGTGTTGCTCCTTTTAATGCCTAATGTTCCAGAACTCTGAACAATCAGATTTATTGAGAAATTTATATTAGGAAAGGCACCAAGGAAGTGTTAAAGATATATAGAAGTAGAATTCAGGAGAGATGCAAGCCCTTCAGGCCATCAAAATCGGGATTTAAATCACTGGAATTGTTCACCTTTCCAATAACAGATAGAAAGGAAACAAAATGAACTACTACTCCCTTTTTAGTTCATTTTAAAAAAAATGTCTCTTTTCCTTTTTTTGCTGACTCTTCACTTAGAACTTACCACATGACATGTTCAAGACCATAAGATTAAAGAACATTTTTGACCATTCTGCATATCCTAAGTTTAAATCTCAATTAGTCGAGCTGTGCTTACCTTACTGACTACTCTAGATATGATTTTACCTGCCTTTTCTCATGATGAATTGTCCACTTTTAAACTAATATAATCCTCGTCTTTTCTGATCTATCATCAGATAAGAAAATCAAATGAAGACTATGAAAGCTATGGAGACAGAAGATCTGTTGGAAGTGGCTATACATCTGATTTTTCAGCTCTATCAGATTCTCCTTCTCAGGCTGATCTTCCAAAGGAAGAGAAAACAGACCTTCCCTTGGAATCAGCCCGAAATCTGGTAGCTCAAACGAGTAGCTATAACCGATCCCTCTCAGGCAGTCTTCAGATCCCAATAGCAGAGGTGCCAATTAGGACTCCAATACTACGAAGGATTCATTCCGAGAAGTCTAAAATGTCGTATCAACTTCCCTTGGTGTGGTCAACAGGTGCTGGACCAAGAATTGGCTGTTTTGCTGACTTCCCTGCTGAGCTTAGATGGCAGGCCTTGGAACTGACTAACCTCTCACCTAGACCTTGTTCTGTATGATCAACTCCCATGCTGGTTCGTACTCCGCAGCTTATCACTCTCCACTTCTTGGCTATGGCTCCATAACTCTTCAATAGCAAGTGTAAATTCTTGTTCTGAAGATTGCACAATGTTCATAACACGCAGCGGAAGACAGAAAAACAATCCTGAACAGATCTCCTTGTGTTTAAAATTTACTGAAATATAGGTTTCGAGACAAACCTGGTGACGAGAGTGGTAATCCAAAATAGTACTAAGACTCGATGTGTATCCACACCAAGATCGATCTGTTCTTCATGTTCATCCCCCTCCCAACTTTCAGCTTGCTGATATAATATCTCTGTCCAGTACTTAGTTGAATGATAAGATATACAGCTATATGTAATCTGCACTTTTAGCTCTCTTCATCCTGGCAAACAGAACTTGATGTATCAAAATTTCTCATCAAACCAATATCATTTCTTTTTGTCCCATTGGTGCCATTCAGGATGGATGTGAAAATAACATAAGTCGTGGGGATGTTTTCCAATTTTCTCATGTTTGGTTCGTCAAAATGTTATGGAAAATATTCTCTGAATATCAAAAACAAGGAGATGTATTATTTCATACAGAGGATATGTATTTACACCTCTGATAAATATCAAATGTACTGGTCTTTTTGTTGGGAATAAGTTATTCCAGAATAAGTTATCTCAAGATAAGTTCTTTCTCTACGTATATGAGATAATTTGTCTCATTTCTATGATATACGTAATGAGATAAATAATCTAAAGATTACTTAATACCACTAGCTAAACATATTACGACATATCAAAATAGGAACTAAGCTATCTTGTCTATTACATTATGGTACTGTAGAACATATGAACAGACCATTTTGTGATAGGGAATGAAGTATGTTTTCCTGTTCATCTTTCTACTAAGGCAAGCATTATACAATTGTAATAGTAATTTTATAAGTAATAAATTGAAAGTTAGAACTATAGAATTTAGTTTAAGAAGTTGATAACTTGATATATCCATTTTAATATACTTGCTACAATGCTGGAAAACATAAGAACAAATTAAAAAATGTTATGCACATTGCTTAACACTTTTCGACTATTAATTTTTATTTTTGATAGAGTATTACTGCAACTTATAAAAAATTTGAAGGAAGAAAGAATAAAAAGAATAGAATGATATGAGTATCACAGGACAAAATATAAGAAGATGTTTTGGTGATTTCTTCTATTAAAAAAGAGTTAAAAAAGAATAAAATAATATAGAATTATAGAAAAAGAATTAATATAACTTTTTACTATCATAAATAGTAATACTAGGATTTTCTCCACAATAATTTTTTTTTTTTAACAAAAGCCCGTTTTTGCATTTGGGTCCTATTCTCCTCCTTCGTCTTCACTCTGAAGACTGAACTACCTGAATCTGGTACCAAAAGCTTCCAGTAATGGCGTCCGACGGCGAGACAGTAATTCTCAACTGTATCGACTCCGACGGGTCCAAACTAGACGGAGATCACGAAGAGATTGTCATTTCGACAGCTGAAGTCAGTCAATGGGACTTAACATCACTTGCCCATCGCCCAATCATTAAAATCAAAGCTAATCGGCAAAGGCAAATCATCTTTTCTGTTTATTCTGTCTGTTTTACCTTCAACATCTATAAAAAAAAGTGTGTAATTTTTGCTTTTTTTCGTTTCACTTGATGTTTTGAAGTACAGGCTCATTCAGCAGTCTTCGTACTTTCACGGACTATTGAGTGGAAGTTTCAGGTATAATTCTTTTTTTTTCTTCAATTTTACTGAAGTTCTATGTATTGAATGAGTTTGAGTATAGTCATACAAATTTGTTTTACTCTGAACACAAAATACTGGTTTTGCTACTTGTTTCTTAGTGAAGTGTTTATGAATAACAAATCTAGAATGCTATTCGTGTTTGATATCTTGCTGGAGCAAATTACAACAGTTAAGCTACCCTGAAGCAACATGCTTTGGCAGATTGGAGACTGCTACATTATTATATTTTTTGTTATCTAATTTCGAAGAACAAGATTATGGAAGAGCAGATTTGTCTGGTACTGAGTGAATAATAAGTTAATAATATTCAAGAACAGCTGTATGTGTTCTTCGGCTAGCTATGAAATGGTACTTAATAATTTCTTACTGCTAACTTGGGAAATAAATATTCTAATAATAAATACAAACTATGAGCTTAATTTTCTATGGAATGTTACAAGGAATGATAATATAAATCTGGTCAATATGTAACTTTCCCCTCAAGTTAGAATGCATATAACATGGACCCCAAATGGGTTCAATGAATCTCCTTCGCTAGAAAATAATTCTACGTAAATAGGGTAAAAATAAATTTGTTAAATATATACTAGTGAGTCCCCCTTGAGAGAGGGGAGTATTCTAGAGTAGTGGCAGAGGGAGTTCAAAAATTGTTTTAGGTAACAAGTTCAAATCATAGGTTTGGCATTTTATTATTTTTTTGAATCCTATTGTATAAAATTCTGGCTCAGCCACTGCTGGGGTTCAGATTCATTCGTCAATATTAGAGATGAGTGCGGATTGTGTATTTTCGCAGATAAAGTGATACTCAATCTCCATATATTTTGCCTCCGAAAGAACACTGGTTTAGATGCCATGTTATCGCGTTTTGATTGTGACAAATTAAAATTCTTCCAAACTCCTACTCTTCAAGTAATTGTTCAACTGCAAAAGCTCATTTACTGTTGGGAGCATAGCTCTATAAGCAACCTCTACACTTGATCTAATATCCACATCTTGCTTATTACTTGTCAAAGAGACCAAGTTTCTACCCTTCGGGGTGGCCCAGTGGTTTGGGCTTGGAACTTCCATGGTGGAGGTTTCAAGTTTGAAATCCCTTGCCAGCGAAAGCAAGGGGTTTGCCTTCTAGGTCGAGCTCGTCGTACCGGGCTTGCCTAGTGCGGGTTACCTCTCCTATGTGCTTTGTGAGTTATTGCATAGGAGCGGGGGTTTTACCTTGTGCGCACCCAAAGGGTAGCGACCGCGGGTTTTCCTTGTCATCAAAAAAAAAAAGAGACCAAATTTCTACCATTGATCGCCTATGGGATGGCAATGCAGCCTGATATGCATTTACAAACTTGATACTTACACTATTACCTTGATCTTTGTGGAGAATTCCTTGTCCTAGATTACTCTTGAATCTTGATACATCTAAGGATGCGACTCTATCTCACATGTAGTGGCAAGCTAATTTAACTTACCAATCTGAAGGCTCCCCAACGTTGAAGTAGCTTGACATTAGGATATACAGGTGAGTTGATTGGTCGATAGTCACGCATACCGGTTTTGCCCAAAATATCCATAGCAAATTTCCTCTATACCAAGGCACACATGAAATGGAGTAAGCAATCTTTATCCCTGACAAGTACTTAAGTTTTTTTATAGGAAAGTAAGTAAGAGATGTTATTTGGCAATTTTGGTAGCTTAAACTTCTATTGTCATCTCCAGAATAATATATGATCCACATGTGAGAAGATAGAATGCCAACCATGTGTAGAGTGGATGCAGAATAGAATGATCTGATTAGCTACTGGTCATAATACATAATTGTGCCTTAAACTTGGCCTTTGTTGGCATCCATTCCCTCCAACTTTTGGTGTGCACAAGTAGGCATTTAAACTTGTATAAAATAGAACAAATAGACATAGGCGTCCTACGTAGCATTGAAGGATCAAAGGACTTTTTTTTTCTTTTTCTACCTCGCATGTCATTGACTGTACTACAAACATGGGCTAATTTGACAATTGAGTGACACTAAGTAATGTTTTGGCGGCTGACTAGGTCTACTGTGGTGTTGGCTACACCTAACCTGAACCATTAACGGAAAGAAGTTGTAGATCAATGTGCTAGCGAGTGAAGGATTTCTATTGAAGCATGAGGCCTTGTATTGTATAGATTTTGACAGTTATCCTTTTTTTAATATCATGTCATCTCGGAGCGATGAATCTCAAGGTGTAGCGGTTCATTGGAGAAGACACAGATCTTGAAGCAACAAAAGGACACTGTATTATATTTTCCTCAGAAGACTCTTCTAGTGATTGGAAACAACTCAAACTTTGATATTTTCTTCACCTAGTTCTTTGTCCATGTGAAGCACTAGAGAAATGAATTTATCCTATATTAACTATTGAGTGAAATAATGTACAAGAATTATTCTTGTACAGGAGCTGGCTTTGTTTGTAATCTTGTTGCATCTTCTGGATGCTGAATGAAAGATAACTACCTTTACTTGACAAAAAAATAATGTACCATGATAACTCCATTTATAGAAGTTTTGGATAATATTATAATAACATAATTCCTTTCTTTTGTGAGATTACCTTACCTCTTTATTATATGGTTTAACTGCTTCAGTGAATCTTGCTTTGACTCTATATCTATTCATTGGGACGTGGAGCCACTTCTGAGTATGTTGAGATTTATTTTTGGATGTTTGATGGACATTACTTCAGAAAACTTCCTTCCTTTGTATGAGGTAAGAACTCCAGTTACCAGTATTGCAACAATTACTTTTATTTGCTTAAAAGGTTTCACTGATGTAATTTCTGTTGGTCACTTGGAAATCTGTGGAAGTACTTTACTACTTTTTGTTAGCTTAGTGATGTCGTAGTACCTTGCCTATGAAAGCCTTGCCCTTGTAATGGATAAGAGTTCAACATTCCTCCTTTTTTTGGGGGGTGGGTAGTGTGGGGGTTTAAATAAGGTACTCCCTGTGTCCCGCCTTATTAGACATACTTTCTTTTTTAGTAAGTCCCAAAAAAATGACACATTTCGTTATTTGACAAATGTTTAATGACACTATCAACATTTTACCCATCTTGTGTCCCACGTATTTGGCAAAAGTCAATAAAAGTGTACTTCTATATTTTAAAATTTATTTATTTTAAGGATATTTTTGGAACATTGTAAAGTTCTCTCATATTTCATAAACTTTGTGTCTAGATAAACTGCATGACATAATTTAGGACGGAGGAAGTAATATATTTCTGTCAATCAAAACAACACAAATGAGGTATTGAATGTGTATCGTTACAAAACCTCAATCTTCCATTATAAATGTAGGGAACTTATCCACGGTCCAGGGGGTGGGGGGTTCTCGGTAGTTAAAAAAACAAAAGAAAGGGAACTAAGGAAACATGATAGAGGGTCTAAGTCATATTCATTCAGCACGGTATACCAAAATTCATAAAAAGGGGTTGCGTAGTGCACAAAGCATCCCGCATTCAACCCTTCGGGGTGGCTCAGTGGTTTGGGCTTGGGACTTCTAGGTTGGAGGTCTAAGTTTGAATTACCTGGTTGGAGGTCTAAGTTTGAATTCCCTTACCACCGAAAGCAAAGGGTTTGCCTTCTGGGTTGAACTCGTCGCACTGGACTTGCCTAGTGCGGGGTTACCTCTCTTGTGTGGTTTGCGAGCTATTGCATAAGAGTGGGGTTTTACCCTGTGCGCAACTAAAGGGTAGCGACTGCGGGTTTCCCTTATCATAAAAAAAAAACATCCCGCGTTCATACAAGTTCTGTGTAAGAATGCATCCCAAGGGGGTGTGATGTTGGCAAGCTACCTTCACACAAGCATAATGGCTTGAACCCAATGGAGACAACTTCACTATTGCTCCAAGGTTAACCTTCATAATTACAACTATTTGTATCTATGCATAAATTGGTACGCCCTTGTCATGGAACATCTGTGATTTTTCTTCCATATGAAAAGCCAAACGATTCAATATGTCTCACTAACAAACAAAAAAGATGCGCTATGATGTCTTTTTGGACCAAGGATTGTCGGGTTTAGTTAAAAATAATAAATACAAAGTTTTTTGAGCTTAATAGATTGTTAGAGGTTGAAAGGAAATAGTGAATTTTCATAGTAGAGTCACGCAAGGGTGTGACCTAGTGATCAATGAAGTGGGTTTGGGCATCACGATGTCTCAGGTTCAATTCCCAGTAGGGACAAAACACTAGGTGCTTTCTTCCCATCTGTTCTAGCCTAGCTGACTTCTCTAAACCATTTTTTTTGTTCATATTTATCATTTTGCAAGGAGAAGTTGAGTGATCTCTTTATCGGGGGTCACTAAAGAAGGTGAAGCTTTATGAAAGAATGCTACACTTATCAATTATCATTGTGTGCTGTATTTGCACTGAGCCCAATGCTAGAATACTTCAGGACAAAAGCATGCTCCAACTTTACTTCAGGAAGGTTTATCTTTGCATCACAATGTTGTTGGAAAGATGTTCATTTCCCCTCTTTGAGTTTTACTACATCCTGGAGGTCTCTTTTGACTGGATATAAGCTTTGCAAGTCTCTGCCCAGAGATCAGATGCAACCTGTTGTTGTTTGTCCAATAATTTCTAATATCTGATCCTGGACTTTTTATTGGTAAAGATCTGATCTTGCACATATATTCTGCAGGCGTCATTGTTTTTTGGAGTGGACAAGCTTCTTTTAGTTTGTCGAAGTTGGCTGGAATATGTAACATCTGAAGTCAGCATTTGGCCTCCTCAGCTGTGTTTAGAAGATTTGGTCCATATCTGGGATTATGGTAGAGAGAATGGTAACAATATCTTTTACTTTTAGCTACTAGGAAAATGATATTTGCAGCATATTGCTCTTCATATTATGTTTTAATGTGATTCCGTGGGTTGTCTCTTATAGATTTACATGGAATATCATGCAGCAATTGATTTTATTCCACAACTGACTGGTTATCTAGCGAGGAACTTTGTAAGTGCTTAAATTGTACTTTGTCCAAGTCTCCAAATTGTTCTGCCATTCAATGTTTTCTTGAATTGATTGGTTTGATTTGAATGTACACATGTATAACATACCTCTATGGGAGGGTCAACTAAATCATATCTGCATTTCTTTTATGTTTCTTTGTCTATACCTCCTCGTCCTTGATTTCTCTCCCTTCTCCAGCCTTATTTTCTCCCCAATCTAATTACTGTCTTTTTTCCATTTCCATCATGCAATTCTTCTCTCTTTTCCATGGGTAACATCTGCAAAAACAAGTTTATCAAAAAATTTGGCAGCAATTTTGCTGTTTAGTTGCAGTAACTTTATGTCATTCAATGGTAAGGGCAGTGGTATTCTCGTTTTTTTTGACAAGTTCTCTGGAAAAGCTTCTATTGCATGTGGTTAGAGTTAGCCAGTGAGTGTGAAATGTGAATTTTGAGAGTTGTTACAAAAAAAATAAAAATTCAGCATAGTAACTGAAGTATATTTTCTTAAAACTAGCAACTTATTATGCAAATAATTACTACAGTAACTAAAACAATTTCAACACATTTTCATGCCATTAGATCTGCTTCAGCTTTTCAAATTTCTTACTCCACTCTTGTAGTTAATAGTGTGTTTTTTTATGTCAATTCTGCTGAATATCAAAAGTATATTACTTTGAATATAAATAGGAACATTTCTAGCTACAAACAAGCCCAGGAGCTGTTGCAGTGATTTAGCAATATAAGCCAGAGAAAACATGTTGTCCTTCATATTAGTCTTAACTAGTAAAATTACCCGCGCTTCGCGCTGGAATTTAATATCACGAAATTCATAAAATAATACTTAAAACTTCTCAGGCATTAAAACTTAAACACTATATTATCTTACATACAAGATTACGTAGTAACAAACATTAATAATGTAAAGGAAAATGAAAATCGTTACATCTTATCATTTAGCTTTAATAACATAAGCATAAATTATAAATTAATGATTGTAAAAATACATACCAGGATCTGTAACATAAGCAATAGTGTCAGTGAGTCACTCAACATGAGCAAAGTATACAAATATTTAATTGTGAAGAAGAAGAAGAAGAAGAAGAGGGGGTTTGGAATTTTCGTTGTGCTAAATGAGAGGAAATCCCTCTATTTATAGACAATAAAGGGTAGTGTGAACAAATGTTTACTGTGCCTTGTCAGGAAGGTTACAACTATTTGGAAAAGTTGCAACCCTTCGGAAAGGTCACAACCTTTCATAAAAGTAATAACTTTTCATAAAAGTCGCAACTCTTTATAAAGTCGCAACTCTTCATAAAAGTCACAACTTTTCATTAAAGTCGCAACTCTTCATTAAAGTCGCAATTCTTCATTAAAGTCGCAACTTTTCATAAAAGTCACAACTTTTCATGAAAGGGAAGGCTAATTTTGTAAATAAATAAATTAAAAGGGTATTCTGGTTTGTGGTGGCGGCAGGTAGGCGGGCCTAAGGTTCTCTTATATATATATATATGATATGATATGATATGATTATTTTGAATTATTTGTTGGCATGTCACGTCAGATGATTCTTTCTACTTTCCAACAACTGTTCCAGATGTAATTTTCTTTCTTACTGCAGATATGGATGGCATCCTGTGACTCATTTCACAATGTCCCTTTTGAATTGTTGCTTTCCTGTGTAAAGCAACCTTGTTTGACAGTAGATAGGTAGGTATTCTCTTTATCTGGTAAAACAAAGGTCTGTCTGATGCAAGGTCTCATTTCAACTGCAATTCTGATTTCATGGTGACTTTTCACAGCGAGAAGCATCTCTGTGATGCTATTCTACTATGGCTTGCCGCTAACACCAACCCATCTGATCGTTTGAGCTCCACTGGTGATGCTCGCCTTGAAATTCTAACAGAGGTATATGATATTGTTGGGATTGATTAAATGACGTGATATTTCCAATTGAATTTTGTCTGTATTCATGTGGGTCAGAGAGATGCCTAAAAAGGGGGTTGTGACAATTTCTAATGACCGTATTCTTTCAGACTGCAACTAGCCTTGCACCGCAGCATGCTATAGTGACCCCACATTAGCAAATCAGGTTTAACAATCCGTGTAAGGAAAACATGTAAGAATAATCTAGCCTACTTAGTGAGATTAGTAATCACTGCTGATATGGAGTTTTGCACTATAAGATTCCGGAAGTAGATATTCCTTCTCTTTTTTATCAAAAAAAATAGTGTTTTTTCCTCTTTGTTTTTGTTGTTTTATGACATTTCTTTTGCGTGACTCTTATCCTTGTTGATGATATGCCTATTTAATAGCTTTTGAACCTCACTCAATTTTCTTGTACTTATGGGGCAGCTCACTTGTTTGGTTTTCCTTGCATATCTGATTTATGTTATAACATTACAGGTGCATTGATCTCAGTCCTAGTTTTCCCGCAGATAAAGTGTTCCAATTTGATAATTGATTGAGATATTATATCTGTAAGGTCTTAGTGTGAAACGAAACTCATGAACAGCTCTATCCCTTTTGGGTGCAAGAAATTTTTTCCACTACTTGAAAAATTTACAAATATAAAAGCTACAAGCTGAAGACCTATGATTCTTTCCCCGATATCTCTGCTACATATGCATTTGAATTCTTTCTTGCTTACACTGACTTAAGTAATTTATGTGACCATTGTCTTTGTTAACAGATCCGCACTAGCCTTTTATCATTGCCATTTGCTGCTGGTATGAGCAGTCCTTTGAGTTGTTACTTTCAAAGCACTAATGCTCAAGTGTTATTTAGGTTCCTTCTGATCATTTCTGTATTTTTGTTCGCATTTTAGGGAAACGAAGATGCCCCTTCTTCTCAAAGTTTGCAGAAAGAAGTGTGGTTGCTATCTGTAGTTTAGCTGCCTCCCGTTCCTTTATCTTAGCAGACATTCTTGGAGGTGGTGACTGTAATCAGCTCAGGATCCGCTTGACTGAATATACTAAGGTTTACATTTTACCAGCATCCTGTCAGTGTTTGTGGGTTTTGGCTTTCATTTTCATTGGATGCCACACAAATATAGTCCACCTCCCCTTCACTTATTAAGTGGAAAATAGTCGTCGGCATTGTGTAAGTGACTTGACCGAGTCTACGAAGCTTATAACGACTCACGGTTGTCTTATCCATTCTGATTGATTGACTAATCAAAGATTCTAGATGGCTTGAAATCTGGGGACTAAAGTGGCAAGTCTAACAACTTACTTATGAAAGTCATTTCACATGAAGTTCTTTTATATTCTTATCTAGAAGCAAAATGATAACAAAAAGAAAAACAAGGAGTGTACAACTTATTTTAGACCTAGACATCCTTTTCTGTTAAGAAATAGATTTTCTGAATTGTGATAGCTTAATATCTTTTTCCATTGTGTCGTCACTCAATGGATAGAATATTTCTAATACTCTGCAGACAATTCAAATGATGGGAACAAATGAATCTACTTATAGTTTTCACTTCACCCTATCTGTTCTTGGAGACTTTCCAAGAGTAGAACTTGCTAGTACTTTGGGCACGATTTCTAAATTCATCTTTCTCCCTTTAATCACTTGTTGGAACTAAAAGATTAGCACATTCAACATCATCAAGAGTAGGCTTGCTCGCTTGATTATAAAATATCACTTACAGTGTCAAAGTGAAACAATCTTTTTTTTCTTCACTTTTCCTCTCTTTTACTTGAAATTAAGTTGTGAAATTCATACAATGTTATCACTTAACAACCATTTTCATTGCTTAATTCCTTTTCTGAATCTCCTCTGTAGATATTGGACCTTTCAGGCTGCCCACAAATTAATCTGCCTCTTCTTCTCCTAAACATGCTTCCTTCTTCCAATAATTTGGACAAATTGCTGATGAAGAAGCTTAATCAGCTTTCACTCAAACTTGAGCGCCATATGGATATATCTCGGATTTCATGGGAAACTTTCCCTGTTTTGACTTTTGGAGCAGTGCAAGTAGTGGATGTTTCAAATTGTCCTATGCTGCATCTTGAAGCTGCCATTGAGTTCTTTTCCAAGTCATTTCCATCCCTAACAACATTAAAAGCTGCTTATATTTTGACCTTCAGGACAATGAAGCTGTACCAATTGTTACAGAGATGCCCATTACTCTCAGACATCGATCTAACAGTGGACAGTACTCCTGTAATACCAGCAAAGGTCTCAGTTATATCTTCATTTCCTGCTGTGATGCTGCAGCTATCAACATCTCCCAATGATGAGATATGTCCTGATGTACCAGCATTTCACTTTTCTAGGCAGCTCTCAAATATTACAAAACTCATATTGGAGGGTCGAACAGATATCTATGGTATGATATTTGGCCATCTCTCCTAGCTGGCTAGCTCAAACCGCATCCTGACCAAAGGAAAAGTCTCTTTCCAGGAGATCATTTTCATTTTCTGGTCCTTAGAAATGATTTTTTTTTAAAGACCCAAGTACTTTTCCTACTTCACTTGATTCTTGGTGAAAAGGTATGAGCCTAAAAGCATGCTTAGGAACAAAACCCAAAAATAATACCTGATATGTTAGAAAGCTTATATACGGAAGGTGAAGGGAGGAAAAACCACTGTAAAAAGAATCATCCTCTTATCTTCGCTTAGTTCCCGCCTATCAAAATTATGCGATCTATCTTAGAAAGTTTTTCCCAAACTCTTGCTATGTAAATGTTGAGTACTGCTTTTAGCTGTTACATTGTGTTTTGTAAGTGACACCACTTTCATTTTCTCATGCATATAGTTTGCAAATCACATCAATAAGTTGCCTTGGAATCTCGTCTGTACTTTCCTCGAGCTGTTAGAGGATCTTTATTGGAAATTCAGCTTGCTTGTATGCTCTTAATGATATGATACCCTCTGCATTGAGCTAACTTTACTTCTCTTTGATATTCTCCAGATTCTGATCTCCAAATTATTGCAGAGTGCTGCCCTTCCTTATGTTGTATTAACCTCAATGCATGTACGTCCATAACGGATTCTGGCATATCCATTTTAGTATTGAAATGTGTTGAACTACATTCAATCTTTGCGTGTGATACTTCATTTGGGCACAATTGTGTGCTGTCACTTTGCCGTAATATCTCTAGACTTGACGCTGTGGCAATGAAGATGGCAGGCAACACCAATTCATTAGCTTACAAACTTCAAATTCTGCATATAGGAGGCTGTAAAGGTGAGCGATGTTCTAGATTTTGTTTTCTGCCTTGCCTCCTCCATGCCAATGTTTGTTAACAAAACTGAAGTTTGTACGTAGAAGCTTTTATTTAAAACTATGGTTAGCAGTTACTGCTTTGCATCTTCCAATGTGACTGTTGATAAAATTTAGTTCAATGTGGATATATTAGAACTCCTTTTTTCAAAATAAAACTGCAAGCTTGAATGCTGAAGTATTTCTGAAATCACAAAAGTAAGGATTTAGCGGAGGATGCTGCATGTTTTGGTTTCCACCTGAATCTCAGTCGAAGCAACTTACAACTCAATTAATTTATTGATAGTTTAAAGAGTTATTTAATTTTGAACTATGACTGCTGGAACTTAAATTTTAATTACTGCCACCTATAACAAATAAAATTCTTGCTCAACTGTATTCAAGGGAGCCTTTTTTTGACTGTTGGAATCTCATGTAAGGCTCTACATTGTAAGATAAGGAAGCTGGCAATTATATTTGCGGTACATAATTATCTTTTGATGAAATATATATGTGGGACATGATTATATCCTCTTTTCCAGTTTGTTTTATCTCTTTCACTTCAATTTTTGAAAACTCTCTTCATTCGCAGGTATCAATGAGACTTCTCTTTTGGAGCTTATCTCTCAAACTCAGAGAATAAGAAGTCTTTGTTTGAGGGAAACACAGCTTGTCGACAATTGTCTATATAAATTTTCAGGATCATCACTGGAAATGCTTGATGTATCTGATACTAAGGTTTGTAAGTAGTCCTGGGAGAACTTAAAGTCAACGTTCTCCAAGTTTTTTCTGGAAAATATGTGAATTTCTATGTTATCAGTTTGCTCTAGGGTCAAGCTTTTAGGGTAAGGTGTTGAAAGAGTGGAGGCCTTAGGTTGAACTGCAGTACCGCACCATCTGCCATACTGAAAATAATATTTTTATGTTTTTGGCCTGTATAAAAGACTCTGACAGGCGACACATATGACTGAGCTGCCAAAGACTCAAAAAAGAATGCTACCATTTTAACAGTCTAAGCTCCTAAAAGGGATGTTTCCACATAATTCTATACAATAACGTATTTCAGGACATGTATGTATATCTGTTGCCCAAGTGAATTTCTTGACAAATAGAAGCTAGAGCACTGGACTTATTCTAACTTTTAAATGTTTTGCATTTTGAAGAAAATGTTAAACGTCGCAGACACTTACGTGCTTTCTGTTGCTAAACTCTCCACATCTCTGTGTAAGCTCCCTCCACTACATGGACTAGTGAGTAGTGCCAAAAACGCCAAGGTGTTTCACTTGGTTTTATTGTCTTGTAGTATCTCAGAATAGTTAGAAAGGAGCAATTTTTGGGACTTTGGACTCTATAGGTGGAGCATTTGCGGAAGAATGATGTTTATAGACAGATGATTTGTCTGTATAACCAATATATTATTCACTTTGGAATTACAGGTTTCTTGCCATGCAGTGGGTCATGTTGTCCGCGGAAATCCTCTTTTAAAATGTCTGATTGCCAGAGGCTGCAGGCATCTATTACAAGAAGAAAATGATATTCTATGGAACTCTCCTGTATTATATTATGAGCTTGGGAAGTCCTGCAATTTGGAGGAAATTTCTCTTGGTTGGGGATTCTCGTTCTTTTCATTGGAGGCCCTGCGTCCAGCAATTAAAATGTTGAGGACATTTATTGTTGGTTTAGGTGGATCTTTAGGTGAAGATGGGCTCAAACTGGTACCCACCTTTTGTCCTTGGCTAGAGACCTTGATTCTTTATTTCCAGGTAATGTGTCAATGCAAAAGTTCTTGGTAGTTTTTTCGCGTAGTTTCGATCCAATATGCTGTGTGCATATTGGATAATGCTCAATGAGCTGATGGGTTGAGGGCCTGAACGGGTTTTCAATCATCTAAATTGTAAGGAAATGTGATGACAGAATAAGTATAGCCGCAAATGGTGGGATCGTTGCAACTCATTCCCAGATCTTTTTTGCCTTTTTGTCTTGTCTATTCCAAGCATGGTTCCTCAAGCCTAACCACTTTCATGAAGTATTTCTCATTGTCTTGAGTTCTCTTTCTGTAATGTACCGCCTTCTAGTTTCTTTACTATATATCAATGGACGATGAAGTGTAAGGATTTCTTCAAGTGTTACTTCATGTTTCTTCAAGTAACATTAAGTGTGATGAAAGTTATCTTTACCTTGGATCTTTATCCTTAAAAGTTAAGGTGAGGGCTAGAACCTGTTTCAAGGTCCTTAACTTATTAGATGGTCTTTTGAAACTAAAGTTTCTTCATTGTCTCTAAATCTGTTCATCATTACTTTAGATTATAAAAACTTAGAATGATACCTTTTAATATCATTCAATAAAATTAAGAAATGGAATTTGGTGATTTTCCTGGACCTTAAGTTGGATTTTGATTTAGCCATCACTCTCTCATTTTCTATCTACATTAATGATTATATGTTCAAAAAATATTGATATATAAATTTAGAACTTGTGGTCAAATTTATAAAATTTTGACATAAAAAGCAAACCAACAAAGAAATCAAGGCAGAGGGCATATAATGCAAGTGTTTTATGACATAAACTTCTAATAATGGGACTTATCGGGATAAAGTAGTGCCCTGTGATTCTTTTCTCCAGACTTATTACTTACAGGTCTGGCATACGTCTGAATATAAGTAGGTTTGTATGGATAGGAAATGTCAATTGTTCATTTTATTAAGGATAGAAAAATCGGGGCATCCAGTTGTATAACACAATCTGCCATACTTACAGGGTCTGACATACATCTGAACATTTTAGATCTGAATATAAGTAGGTTTGTATGGATAGGAAATGTCAATTGTTCATTTAATTGAGGATAGAAAAATCAGGGCATCCAGTTGTATAACACAATCTGCCATACCTTGTTGCACCTGGATATCTGAATTCGGTTAGTGTATCTTGTCCGAGTCCTAGATGGTGTGCATTTTAGATTAGTGCTTGAAATCAGTGTTGCTTACTTAGTATTGCTGATCTTCACAGGTAGTATCTGATTCTGTTGTAAGAAATATATTAGAGACCTTGAAAAACTTGCAAGTCTTAGCTCTATGCTATTGCTTTGGTGAGATTTCCTCATTAAGCTTCCAGTCCAGTGCACCACGTTTGAGGAAATTGAAACTTGAAAGAGTATCAACTCAGATGACCAATGATGATTTGCTTATCCTTAGTCGGAATTGCATGAACTTAACTGAGCTTTCACTGGTGGGATGCAAACGTCTTAATTCAGGTCTGCACTACTCTCAAGAACATTTTGTTTTGAATTTGTATGATGATTGAAAAATTCCCTTGTCTAAGGTTCATCCAGTTGTAACAAGCAAAATCCAATTTGCTATACTTATTCCTTCAGATCAATTAGACAATTACAATTTACAGCCACCACCACACTTCAATCCCCCAAGCTAGTTAGGATTGTCTATATAAATCCTTGCTATCCACGTGCTCCATTTGGCCTGTCGTTCTAATGTCCAAAAATATATGTTCTCTAGCACTAGAAATTATGTACATCTTTTGCAGGCATGCGAATCTATGCCAACACTAAAAGAGTCCTAAGTCCTAACGAATATTGGACTCAAAGCAAGTGTACCAACATGATTCCAACAAACTGGTATCACTTATTTTTCGTTTTTTCTTCCATTATGCCTTTATTTTCTCCAAGTTTGCCTGGATTTCAAGAGACTGTAGGTGTTTTGAAACAAGTTTCCATGTGATTTTAGGTGTACCATATCCCTTTTCAACCATAATTCTGTCTTATTCCACGTCAGCTTTGATGTTCTTGTGTTGGCAAAACATGTGGTGCGTATATTCTTACTTGTTTTCAAAAAATATGTATTCTATCTTACTTCTACTGATCCTAACTAAAAACTTCTAGAAAGCTTCTCCCTAGTTCTAGTTTTGGTCAACATCCTCAGTGATGTCATCAATTAACACAATATTGTCTGCAAATAGCATACTCCATGGGAACTCATCTCATAATTGGGGTAAACATGTACGGGCTAAATTACCTATAGAATAAAACTAGTACAGGTTAAGTGCAAATAATTGGTGTAAACCTACTGCTATGAGGAACTCCTCTTGTTTGTCCTTACACTGCTCTCACACTAGCGCAGTAAAGAATGAGAGAAAAAAGAGAGATTGGGAATGATTTGCTTGATTATTTCCTCAACCATTTAAATAGTGTTTACAAGTAATCCAAAAAGAGAAAGGAAAGTAGCTCCTATTCTTAATTACTCAATTGCAAGTATTCCAAACTTTTTCCAAATTTACAAGGAATTGACCCTTGTCATATTAAAGATTTCCTGATTCTTAACACTAGTGATGGCTTCTTCATACATATTCTTTATATATCTAATACTGATCCAGTTCTTCTCCAATATCGACGAAAGGGCAATACTGATCCAGTTCTTCTCCAATATCGACGAAAGGGCATTTGTTGATACGCATGCTCTAGATCAATAATATAATATGTAGATCTTCCTTCTTCTCCCTATAAATTTAAATCAATTTCTTAGCAAGAATATAATCTTTATTATAGATCTACCTAGCATAAAACCAAATTGGGTGTTAGTCACTCTTTCAGTGTCCCTATCCTTCTTTCCCGAAGTTCCAGCGCTTGATTCATAAGTTAAATATCGCGATAGTTTGCAAACTTTGAAGATCCATGTTCTTATTTTTTGGAATTTTTGGCCGATCAATTATGAGATGAAATCCTGGTTTTATGACCTTATAATGTTTCTTTGCAGAGTCACAAGATACTATTTCAAATGGCTGGCCAGGGTTGATCTCTCTTCATTTAGAGGTTCGCCGTTGTTATTTTCACTCCTCTTGCTGTATACTTGCTGAGTTGATTTCATTTTTCTCTTGAAATTTCTAATTCTTCAAGCTGAAGAAAGAATTAAAAGTTGCCTATGTGATGGGATTCTATATGCTTCAGGTTCCAAATGATCTGCATGGGGAGTTATTGGGAGGAGAAATACACTAGCATGTTAGGTGTATTTTATTTGGCCATTAAATATTCTTGACGTGCAGTTATTACGACCTAAGTTTTGTGACCTGTTATCTACATTTCTAACTAAAGAAAAAGGTTATTTTCACAAGAGATGCATTTGTGGTGGGAATCTGAACTCCCTGTGTTGTGGACCTTGGGCCTAATTCAACCCCAAAAGCCATCTCAAGAGGTGAGGATTGCCCAAGCAACACTAAAAAGATCACCCATCCCTTAAAGGGCCAAATTGTGGGACCCCACCGGTAGTGTTGGACATCTGGAGCGACCTTGGGTGTAACTCAATCCTAGAAGTTAGCTCAAGAGGTGGGGATTTCCCCAAGTCATTAATGAGACCAGACATGATGTATGACTCTTCACACCCTGGGTGAAAAACAGAGAGAAGGCATAAGCAATTTAATCGATGATGCATACCTCCTGTAAAGTCATGCATTCTAGTATCAGCTACTAGAATTTGGAATCAGCTGTATCGCTACAAACAGAATGTAGCAAAGATCAGAATCTCCGGAAGTTGGATGCTTAAAAATGAAGAGTGTCTCATGCAACCCTAAGTTAAACAATGCCCCGAAGAATTAAGATGCTCCTAAGTAGTATCAAACTCCAGATGTTAAGCATAATTTACCTGAGATCACGATCTTTTAATAGTTGACACACAGACCTAAACCGTGTTATGTCCTAAATTGCAGCCTGACAAGTACAGGTTCCACTGTTATTCTGGAACTAGGCGTCTAAAGCCAAAACATACTTCCCTATATCAGTTACAGAGATCTGAGACATAAGAAGCGTTTAATTAATGAGTTTGATTTCAAGTCACATTTTGTTTTTTCCCAGAAGCATTGAAATAATGAGTTCGATTTCAAATCACTTTTTTTTTACTGTTAATTATCTGAGAACTCCATATGACAGGAATTATAGGTAGTTTCATTTCAGATGTCTCATATATAGATGAGATGCCCAACTAAAAGAAGAAATCTAACTTTTAGTCCATTCAAGCGTTCTTTATGGCTTGTTCCATCACTATTATCTTTGGGTTTGAAACTTAAATTGTTTATTTCCTCGAGAAATGTAGTTTAGTAGTGTGTTTTCTCACAATTTCATGTGGTCTAATATTGTTTAGGACTGTGGTGAAGTAACTGCCCAGGGTGTCACTTCGCTTATGAATTGTCAAGCACTTGAAGATCTTTTACTACGTCATAATGTAAGTCTTCTGCTACTGAATGTTCCACACTTCTGTAAATCAAATGGTGGAGGATCAATAATACCGAACAATGAATTCCAAAGGGCACAATAAATATAATACAAAATTAATCTGATTCATCTTTTCCTTTTCGTTCTATGCATGAGAACTTCTAGGAAGTCTTGAGTGAGTCCAATCACACTATTTAAGCCCGTAGAAACTTCAGGAAGTTTTTAATGTGGCTGAAATGACATTCTTGCCATGATTTTATCATTGAATGAAGTACCATATTAATCCTTTCTTTGAATGGGTTCTGAAGGTGCTGTTATGCATAAGTTAAATGTTATTACTGAAGTTCAACTTTTGAATGATAGGGCCTTGGAATTGATAGAAATTTCATTATCCGTGCTGCTTCAAGGGTAAGCATAAGATAATTTGCATTTTTCCTTTCAAGACGTGAACCCTGACATTTCTTAATAATTTATTTTAATGCAATTAGATGCCACTGCTCCGAAAGGTAGCAATCGATGTATGTGATGCAAAGGATGGTGACTTTGATCTTCCAGATGTAAGACCTCTAATGCGCTCTTGTATAACTCATATAATGTGTTCCTGTATAGCTCTAATGTTGCAGATTCAGACCCCATTTTTTCTTCTCTTTTTTTTCTTCTTTGTTATTGTTGATCTCTCTTGCAACTGTAACAGTTGTATTACTGTTTAGCTTCTTGCATAACTATGAGTAAAGTGGTTCAAGTGAATCTTCTTTTCCGTGTCAAGGGCAGCGCTTGGGTGTCGCTTCTGGCATTGCCTCCATACAAGTATTGCTAAGAAGTCCTTAATAATCTAGACACCCTCTACATTGTCGTCCTGATATTTGTATATCTGGTTCAGTTTGCTGACAGGAACTTCTTACGCATAGTGAAGATTGCAAGATGCAATTTAAAAAGACGCACTTTTTGTTCAACAAAATCTGGAACTTGTACAACTCCGGTGCATGCAGAGACTCTGATACTGACATGTGACAGTAGGAAACTTTCAAGAACTGTTGTCAAGGAAAGATTATAGCATTTGATAGCCAAAAATGTTAATGGTGACTCTGAATGTGTCCACATTTACTGACACAATGCTGCAATGTTTCCCATAGTGCTCAAGTCGTATTGCTGGGCCTGGGCAGATCAGTGCATAGCTGATGGCAAGAAAAAAGGTCTATAAGATACAATACTTGGCACTCTTGGTCTGTTGTAACCTATTTTTATTATATTCAACTGCCTCAGTTTGACTCCACACGAGAAAGGCTAGGTTCCAACTAGCCCTCTCTGTTGCCAAATTATATTGTGGAAATAGAACAAACACGAACTTTTATTATTATCTATGAATTGTTTATTCCCCTTGACATAGTATAGGTTAAGGGGCTAAATATTTGTTTTAAGTCATAAGTTAAAACAATTTAGTACGTACATTATTGTTGGGTTAGGCCTTAGGAAATTTCCTTTCCACTTCACTTTAAATGTATCATTTCTTTGTTCAGAGTTGTCTCAGTGCTTGCTTTTGTTCTTGGAGCCAATAATTGCTTAAGGCCGTTAAGGTCACATTTACATTAATAGTATGGATTTGCTCGTGCAGTGAGAAAGGTGTTACCTATTATCATTACTTTATTGACTGTTAGTTTCTTCCAACACTTAGTTAAATGTGCTCTATATTTTTCAAAGAGTTGAGACCTTTTCTCTCAAGTACATACTTGTACAATTTGCTTATACACGCGCACATACAATGAGCGTACAGGTGTGTGTAGATACCTGTGTTACTTAACAGACTCAAAGGACGGACTCTGTTTCTTTTTTGGAGGAACAAGATCAAACTGCACTGCTGATATGAAAGTTGCATCATGCATGGCACAGAAGACGCACAAGTTTGAAAAACAAAACTCAAGCATCCACACTGATCAACTGAGTTGTCTAGGACCAAACCAAAAGCAACAGAGTAGCCCTACCATCTGAGAAACACTTCGCACTATTTGATAAACATGATAACTGTCTCTAGTATATGTTTCACCTGGATAATGACCTTTTAAAATAATATATGTTAGCATACCTATTTAAAAAAATCATCGTGTCAAACTGGCATAAGCAGGCAGTCGTTAAGCAACAGAAGGTAATATGTTACCACAAGTATATGTTTCACCTGGATAATGACTTTTTAGTATGACAGCAAGAGAGGGAGTATCATCATGCAAACAATAAGCAAAACAAGTACCATATGTCTCTTAATTTTTCTACTCAATTTACAACTTGTGTCAAAAGTATCCAATGGTTTTACGCAGTTTGCAGCTAGTGTCAATAGTACATGAAGAACTCGAAACTTCACTTCAAGATAATGTCTCGTGTCTGGAGAGCATCCCAGGCTTTTGCGCCTGAACGAACAATAGCGGTGAGCATGACTTGATCTCAAGTCTTCTAGATCAAAATGCCTGGGACATATTCCAATAAAAGTTAAAACCCTAACATTCTTCGGATTCCATTTTCCAACTGAAATGGTCAGAACTTAATCATTTCAAAAGGTCCTCCACTCCTTAGACCCTCAACTTGAAGCCAAATTCATCCCCCATATAAAGAATAGTACAACACCACAAGTCATTCTAATTATTAGCAATGGCAGGCTATGTTGCTTGGACTCTCCAAAAATGTTTCCGCATCCGTGTTGGATTCTCCAAAAATGCACTACTTTGGAGGATCCAACACACAGGAGACCCCTGCAGAGTGATTCTCCCTCAAAAAAGTCTATATGTGATGTTCCGAAAATAGAAACATGTGATTAGTAAATTAGAACCCACTGTGGGGTTGAAAAGTTCCGTAATTGCAGCAATGCCAAGATGTGGGTGAAAAGTTTTTGATGGAGGTGTACCAAGTAAACATGGAAGGTTTAGGTGTTGACTACTGAGGCTCCCAGCCAAAAAATTAGAAAACGAGCAAAAGAGCTAGTGGTCCATGAAAGACTACGGATAAACTACCTCAAATACATTTTATAGTTTAACGTGTAACGATGTCTATATAAATCTAGTGATTCTCTAAACTAAGTACCTTTTTTTGTAAAGTCTAAAGTCTAAGCTACCTGCTCTATAATGATGTATGTAATTCATAATATGGTTTAAGAGCCACACAAGTTCCTGGTTTTGGATTATGAGTGTGATTACATGGCACAGCAAATGGATGTAGCCATTTCATTTGAATGGCAGGGAGAAGGCATGAGTACTCCCAGGTTTGCTGTTAGACACCTGCATTTTGTAGGGGGTTAACTTTCTTGAAATGAACCCATTAAACAAGAAACCAAGATTTCAAGCATGCAGTCATCTACACACACAAACTCACTTTTCCGCCACGCCAACACTTGGAGGGGTTTTTATTTCACTTCGGAATAGTAAGGTTTAATAAGATCCTACAAAGTACAGGTGTGTAACTGAAAACTCGGGACGAGTTAGCTTGGGTACTTACCGTTTTCCTGAATTTCCAATACACTAGTACACTAGAAAGCAAGAATTATACCCAAATGCATACACAATATTCCAATTCATATGACATTTTTCATATTTAGAACGTTCCAAAATTTTGATACATTCTATTTCTCTGCAGATTTCAATAAACCGAATTCAGTTAACTATTTCAAATGTTATATATATTAAACTAACTTCTCAACTATTGCTGTAATATGTTCCGCTATCACTAACTATATAAGTCACACATCTTTGAACTCTGTGTTTAGACAAATAACATCAGATGGAGAAACTTTATGATTTCATATACAACACAAAGTGCTTGAGAAACACCTATATAGAACATGCTACATTGCTAGATAGACAAGTACACAAAGATATGCATATGTATTTGAACAGAATGTTGATCGCCATAACAGTGGTTTGAAATGATTCCTCGGTATAGACATCCATCCAAAAAACAGGCTAACTGCAGAGACTAAAGCAGAAGACAAGAGAGTTGGAACCTCTTACTACTCTTTTTTGGGAGAGTGACAGAACACTAATCTTGGTCCAAAATCACAATCTCATAGAAATGGGATGACTTGACAGAAATGAAAATCGTGGATATCATTGTAGGGAAAATCCCTTTTATGTGATTCTACTTTTGGTAACAAAATGATACAACCAATAAATACCAATTAAACACCCACGCCAAAATGTAGTGCCAAAATCTATTGATAAAGCTATAGCACATTGACAGATTATTCACAAGTAACCAATCTAGAAATATATTGACCTTCAGTCTGTTGCAAACACACCTGCAAGTGATCAGATGTCTATCACAATGCATATTGTGATGTTCTAGCAGCCATATTAGCAACTTGAGCCTGCATCTGAGCAGCCCTAACTTTTGATGCTGTAGCACGATGAAAGAATTGCTCACGCGATAACAACCTTATGTTCCTCAAGTACTGGTCAAATGGTATTGCCCCACCCTGTATAACTTTGTCCAACGAATAAATCACATCCTCTAATGCCAAATCTGACGCCGTGCAATCGAGCATCTGCTTGGAAAGACTATCACATGGCTCAAAGGCCGTATCCACATCCACATTCCCTAAATTGGTCACTTTCCCCTCATTCTCCCTCAGCCATCCCTCTAATACATCACTATTCATCAAAACCATCTGTAATTGCTGCTCCAACCCCTCTTTCTCATCCTGCATTTCCTTTAACCCTTGTTTCAACTGCTCCTCCCGCTGCTTCAACACTCCCTGAGCATTAAACAACCCATCCATATCCTTCTCCTGTGCATTCCTCAACCCAACTATATCATTATGCAAGTCAACAAGCAGCTTATCTGTCGCGTTCCGCCTAAAAACATCCTCCCAATCATCCTGTTTCACTGCACCATAAGGTGGTTGTTGAACTGGCCTAGGAGGTATCGCCGGCCGAATCCCAGATGACCCAACTGGCGAACTGTGATTAGGAAAACTCGTACTAGGCGGAGGATGAGGGGTAGGAGTAGGCCTAGGACTAGGGTTAGGGTTTGATGGATGTACTTGTACTTTCGCATAAAGCGGAGGATCCCTTCCAAAAAAATGACTCAAATTACGAACCAATTCAACAAGATTCGAACTAGGGTATATCCAATTCTGCAAATACGGAATCGACACAACCCCAGATGGATTCACAAACGGATGAGGTTTTTTAATAACCATATCCCTAGTCGGATTCACAAAAACCAAAGGCAGATGACGTGGGTAAGATTCCATCAACCAAATAATCACCGGAATATTATACGGACGATCTAGATAAACCATCGGAACAGTACCTACAGCTTGCAATAGATTCACAGTCCTTCCATCATTATGAGTAAATGAAGCAGTTTTCGGCTGAAGAGAAGGGTAAATATCGATTAAAGAAAGAAGATGTTGACGGATCAGCCATTTGACATCTTCAGCATAAGGAAGTGCAGATGGGCCACGCTGAGAGAGAACGCTGCTGAGAAATTGCTGAAATTGTTGGGGATTTGGAGGCTCCATTGAAGCAGATTTGAAGATGAAGAAGGGAATGAATTTTTATTTTAAGAGAGAAAGAAGTTTGAGGTTGCTTCGAGAGATAGTGTAACGCGTACGGCGTGTAGATTGTAGAAAGAGTTATTTGATGAAATAACTGGGAAATTAACCAACGGGGGAGAGTGGAAGAGTCGACATATACTCCTTTAGTTAAGGTTAGAAAAAATCAAGTTCATTAAGAAATTAGTAATTCATATGATATATAATTTATGTTTCTTTTGTTTCTTCAACAAAAATCATGTTCATTAGGAAATTAATGAATACTATATATACTTAATTATTGCTATTAAATAATTCCTCTGTCTTTAATTAGTTATTCATTTTTGAATTGACACATTTATTAAGAAAATAATTATTGACATAGTGAGTTTACTATTTTACCCCTATTAATTATGAAGTGAATAATTTAAAATTTTCAAGAAATTCTACAATTTTCAAAGTAATTAATTGAGGGTATAATAGGTAAAAAAAATTGTTCTTTCTTGATTTGTTAAAATTGACAAGTAATTAGGGACAACTAAAAAAAGGAAAGTGGACAAATAATTAGGAACAGAGGGAGTAGGAGTAAATTTCTTTTTCTTA